AATCACAACATTATGTGATTCTTTAGTGGGCAGCAGCCGCTCTGCTGTGGGGCACACAAGCCCACACAAGCCCATAACCTGGTCCACTGAACTGTAACTTTAATTTGCAGCTTTCCTCTGGCAGTTAAGGTAGGAGTGATGAGCCAATAAGTGTGAGCGCTGGGGAGCCTATTTCATGATCTTTCAGAGATCACTGATAATGGCTCAGCAATCCCATCTGCCAATTCTTTCAGTGGCTCCTGCAGGGTGAGTTGCAGATAGCAAAGAATGAGAGAATATTTAGCTTGCAGAAGACTTAGAAGGTGTGTGATAACGCAATACTTTTAAGGGTTGCCTGGTGGAAGGGGGTTCAGATCTGTTCTGCTTGACACTGGAGGGAAGAATTAAGAGCAGTAATTAGGGAAGTGGGGCAACAAGGTGGTGCAGCTGATAGAGCTTGGGCCTGGTGTCAGGAAGACCTGAGTTCAAAACCAGCCTTAGATACTCTGTGGCTTTGGACAAGTCACTTAACCCTATTTGTCTCAGTTTCCTCATCTGTAAAATGAGCTGGAGAAGAACATGGCAAACCACTTTAGTATCTTTGCCAAGAAAACCCCAAATGGGGTCACGAAGAGTCAGACATGATAGAACAACAAAAATTAGTTAGGCACAGGGAAGCAGACCAGATCAGTATAAGGAAAAGCTCCCTGACAATCAGAGATATCCAAAAACAGATCATGCTACTTCAGCAGTGGTGTTTCCTTATCACTGGAGGCCTCTGATCAGGGGCATCATACATGGCGGATTCATGTGTCCAGTGAAGACTTAACTAAAGAACCTCCAAGGTTCCTTCCAGCTCTGAGACAGTTTCAAAGATTAATCCACCCTACAGAAACTAAATTCTCAAGTACTGAAAGAACTGGCAGATGTAACTGCTGAGCCATTATCAGCGACATCTGAAAGATCATGGAAGACAGAAAAGCTACCTACCTGTACCTCAAGACTGGGGAAGGGCAAATGTCCCAATTTAAAAGGAAAAAAAAAAAGAAAACAGACTGCAAACTATAGACCAGTAAACTTGACTTCAATTCATGGGAAAATTCTGAGATGGATTATTAGGGATGGTTGGTGGACAACTAGAAAGAAAAGCGGTAAGGACAGAGCTAGCCTGGCTTCATCCAGAATCAGTCATATCAGACTAACCTCTTCTCCATTTTCTGAGTGGATTACTAACCTGGTAGATCAATGGAATGCTGTGGTTATCATTTACCTGGATTAAACATGAGGCAGCTAGGTGACAGATTGAGTGCTAGAACTGGTTAGGATAATCTGAGTTCAAATCTAGCCCCAAACACTTACACGTAACCCAGGACTAGCCACTTAACCTCTGTCTGGCTCGGTTTTCTTATTTGTAAAATGGGGATAATAATGGCAACCACCACCCAGGGCTGTTGGGAAGATAAAATATTTGAAAAGTGCTTTGCAAATCTTCAAGTATTACATAAATGCTAAATTATTATCATTGCAAAGCTTTTGAAAAAATACTTCATACTGTTATCTAGTTTAAACAATAATACATATAAGTGGCTTCAGAGCTGGCTGGATGGCTGAGTTCAGTGAACAGAAAGTTAATGGCTCAATGTCAATGTGGTAGGAGGTCTCCAGTGGAGACCCCGAGGGGGTTGCGCTCAGGCCTTAGTGGTTTAAAATGTCTTACCAATGACTGAAATAAAGCTATAAGTGGTTTGGAATCAAATTGGCAATTAATACAAAGCTGGAAGGACAGCTAACCCAATATGTGACAGAACCCAAAAGGATCTTGACAGGTGAGACCACTAGACTGTGGCCAGCATGGCCTGAGCCGTGTTCATGTAACTGGGGAATATTTAACGAAATAAATAAAAACACAACAAAACGCAGATAACATTAAATTTCGAAACAGAGTCCATACGAAACTGCAGAGATCCTTATGTACAGCTTAGTGACCCCTGTTTCTCCTTCGGTTTGACCTCAATGGTGTAGTGGACAGAGATCTGGCCTCACAGGTTCAGTCTCCCTTTTTAATATTTGGATGGCGTTCCACAGCTTATGCAGTTCTCCTTTATGTTTTATCCCTCACCCCACTTCCCAACCCCCACCAATGAAAGTAGCAAATAACAAGTCACGGATTTTTAAAAAATAAATTCATTTCAACTTAGAAATACTAGAGGACAAACATAGCTTAGATTCAGACAAACAAAGGAATATGCAACATGTCAGTGATATTTCACACTCCAAGAAAACAAGAATGAAAAACATTTTTTCTGCAGTTACTCTGAGTTTAAACAAATATATCTTATATGAGATTTCTCCAACATACTGAAGAAACAAGTTATCTTTGCTACATTTAGAAAGGCATCTTTATGGAAGCTGGCAACACGCTCTCTTTGTGCAGAACCAGGGACATTCACTTAGGCTTGTGCAGGCAGAACCTGTAATGCCAAGAAGCTTCGCACTGGCATCCTTTCCCAGGAAAGATGGTGGAGGGTGACCTAGTGAGCATGCCAGGGGGTCCAGGGAGAAGGCACAATCTTCTCTATAATGGCATAAAGGATTACTCTTGTTGATAAGTAATCCAAATGACCTGTTTCAAACAAAAGCAAATACCAAGAGTGGTGATGGATGATTCGAGCCCAAGAGAATCAATTTTGGTATTTGGTGAAATAGAGCTCTCATCACTTCAAACAATAATGTATCCAAATGAAATGAAGTACTTATGGGGAAAAAAAACCTAATCATCTTTATGCCACTTGATAAATACACCGTTAAAATAATTTAATGAAGATTTTCCCCAAATGAAGGCAATCCAATCCAAGATACAAGAGATAGTATCACACAGCCCCTCTCCATCTAGTTTCAAACTGCAGCTTTAGTTCCCATATGGGAAATCCTTTTTTTTTTATTTTTTGGTCAACTCAGGTAAAAAAACAGCTAGTTTCCTAATCACCTAGGGGAAAACATACACAGGTAACACATAATTTTCAAAAGACAATAATTCCAGTTTTAATTGTAACTTGTACAAAAATCTCAGGGGCCTTAAAAGCAAGTGCCTATTATTAGTCTTAAGAATCTGAAAAATAAAACGCTTTTAATAATTACATTGAGATTTGTTTTAAATATATTCCTATGAATACATATTATGCTCTGAATGTCAATGGAGGTTTCATTGAGCACATCATAACTGAGCTATCATCATCCAAACAGGACATTAAGAAGGATGCAAGGATCATTTGTATCCATGATGTCGATGAACCACAGTCTGATCCAATTGCACAGGTTGAGGCATGCATTGGGTACCGATTATCTGATTCCACCCAACTCAACCTGGGGTAAAGTACTTAGCATAGTAAAATATTTTAGAAATGGAAGGGAGCTTACAGATCATTGAGTCCAATTCTATTTTAACAGGTGAGTAAACAGACCTTAGGAGGTTAAATAACTTGCTAACAGTTATTTAGTCATGTGGTAGCTCTAGTGAGAACCTGATTTTTAATCTAATAGTCTTTCTATGGTCATGCTACTGCCTATATTTGATAACATGTATTATGTCTTGACTGTACAGAATTGATTATAATTTAAATATTAATCTGTCCACGGATCCTGCCCAAATCAGGATAATTATTCCAACTACAAAAGGGGAACTTTTCATGGGTTTTCATGTTTAAGCAATTTATGTGTGAACATGATGCAAATAACACAATTATTCAAGACTCTAGATATCACTATGACCTTTCCTTAAAAGATTTCATGTGGAATCCAAAACTTGGAAGAAAGTTAGGGCTTATGGCCTTTTAGTACAGTTGTACTGTACTGTACAGTATAGTTTTTCAGTCAGCAACATTTACATGCCCAGGGCATCCAGAACACTATAGTAGGCAATGTGGAAAAATACTTGGCCAGTTTTTCCTTGTACACATCAAGGAGCAGACTGTCCTAAGAACATGTAATATTATTGTGTATGCTTTTTTTATGGGGGAAAGAGAACATTGCCCTTCTCTGACACATCCAAGCAGTACTACTTGGCATCAGCACTATACTCTATGCCACCTGAGAACATAATGTCTAAAGGGTACATGGTAGATGGTGAAAAAAGAGCCCGAAGAGCTGCAACCATAGAGTTGTGAAGATTGTGCCAAGAAATAGCTACACTTACAGGAGGCTTCATCTATGACTCTATAAAGTAAATGTGGGTTACCCTATCTTAGCAGCTTCCAAGGCAAAAAAGTGATCATACTGCAACCAGACAGAAGTGATTTAGTGCTGTCATATTCCTCTCATAATAAAACATGGGATGGAACTTTAACAGAATTTGCTTTACACTAAATATGAAATACAGGACTCCTACTGGGCATGAGGGAACTCCAGGCACGTTTCCTTTATTGGATCAGTGGCTTCATGTCTGTATACTATAAGCAAACATTAAAGACTGACAGATACCATGAATAAACAGTTAAAGAAGCACACATTCAGTTTGCGGATTTTTAGAGTCTGGCATGTTTATCTATTTGGGGGAGGAGGGTCTGGATCCACGATTTCATTAATATAGAGAATTTCTGGTGAGGAAACTTCCTTTACCAATTCAATTCAGCAAATGTTTTGTAACTTATAGTCTTAGAGAGTTGACTGAGCCCTTGAAATCACACAGCTCAGATGTATCGGAAGCATGACTTGAGCCTAGGTCTTCCTAAGTCCAAGATTAAGTCTTTCTTCACCAACACCAGACTGCCTGATTTTCATCTACACACATAATACAATGCTAAGAGCATTTTGTCTTTCCTTTGTTAAAGGAGAATTTAACACCGTTATTCTACTGATGTCTTAGAAAAGAAGTTCAAAGGTATCCTAAATATATTAAATGAGAATATGCCCTCTATTGCTACTCTCATAGTTTAAAAAAATAGAAAAATATTCCATTTTCAAAAAGTAAATGCAGAAATGCCCATATTTTCAGAGATGTGTTGTTATAAAAAAATGTAAAACCATTTGATAAATAACAAATAGTGTTAAAATGTTGTAACATCTTTTAGGCAAAGTAATTGTGCATTTATAATTCACATAATTATTTTCAAGTAAAGTTCCATCTCCCATAACTTGCAGACCAATTAACTGCTCTTACACAGATCTGATTATTACAATTCATCTTACTTAGTATTACACGAAATTTGCACATTATTTTCTACTGAACTTTTCCATTTATCTCAAATTTTTGATTTTGATTGTTTGACCAACATAAAATTTTTTGATTTTCACTCTTCAGGACTGTTGACAGGCACCTGTACAAAGAATCAGAAGACAAAATACTTATTATTGTAATGCCTAAAATGTGAAAATATTCCTAATTTCTAACAGGCTGAAAAGTCATCAAATTAGAAAGAATGATTTTGCATTTAATGTACATTTTCTTAGTATTAAATAAAATAATGAAAATATCACCTACAGCTTTAATATCCATGTTCCGAGATCCTAAATTTACACTGTGTCTTTTCAGATCAGATTCGATTAGTGCTGAAACAGAAAAAAATACATGTTACTATAATATTTTGTAAATGAACAATCATATATATGAAGTATACTTTTCTAAAATCAGTTGAGAATACTTTAGCTATAATCCATTATCAGAAAACAGTGTCTCCTTATTACCCTATTACTGATGCTGTTTTGGTAATCCAGATCATCAGAATAGGTAATTGGCTACATGCAAATAAACTTTAAGTAAGTCATTTTAAAATCACTTAAATTTGTAAATTTAAGGTAACCTTTTACAATAATATTTTTCATATCATTTAAGTAAGGTAGCACATTTTAAAATTCAGATAAGGACTACCATTGTTCACTTTCAGTTTTTAATTTCCCTTGTGATTATTTCCTTAAAAAATCAACATTAGAGGATGCTTTATATGCTATGAGACAGTTAAAAAAACTGATAGCCTGGAACATTCCCATAAACCTTTCAGAAAGCCAAAGTAATCTTCTTCTAACAGATCAAATAATAGGCTGGTGTTCCCAAATAGTTAATGTACATCTAGGTTATCACATTTTAAACTGATAATATAATCATATTCTGCATTTTTATCATTATGATTTTTTTTAAAGAATAAAAAAAGCTGGGCATTCTACAAACACAAAACTAAATGTGCTTGGTTGTGATTCATGCCCTCTTGGTATGGAAGAAAGAAATTCTTCTTTTCTTATCCCAGATTCTGTCTGAATCATTTTTATACTCAAGATCAAGAAAATACTTACTCTCTGGAGCCAATAGTCTCTATACCTTGTCAATTATATAATATCCTTCTGTGGCTTTAGGAGAGGTAGAAAGATGATAAAGTAGGACTATACAGAAGTCAAAGTATGACTGAAATTACTGCCTACAAACTGGGGCAAAACAAGAGAATCTGCTCCATTCATGGAGAAATTGTTTCTGTAGGAAGGGGGCATAATTCTCCTTCTTGGACATTCCATAAAAACTATATCCAGGGGCAGCTAGGTGGCACCGTGGATAGAGCACCAGTCCTGGAGTCAGGACGACCTGAGTTTAAATGCGACCTCAGACACATGATACTCACTAGCTGTGTGACCCTGCGCAAGTCACTTAACCCCGATTGCCTTGCAAAAACAAACAAAAACAAAAAACCCCAAAAAACTATATCCAAAAAGGAGGGTGAAACTGTCCACAATTTAAGCTTTGCTATTTAGCTTACTATATTCTCATTTTCTATGTAAAAATTTCAAATTAGAAAAGCCTGCACAATGAAAAATACTTATCCCTTTTAAAGGATTCCTATTTCTAATTTCTATTTTTTTCTGTTCTACTAACTCATTTGAGAAATACTATAGAACATATGTCAATATTAATAAGATAAATGATAAATCATAAGTACAGGTCTGGTAGCTGAGGGCCAGCCTAGCTAAGGTTAGCATACATAGATGGCTGACCACCAGGGGATTGAATTTACTTTGTTTTTGGCCACAGTAACTCACAAGCACCGTATAATAAAATGTAGAGAGGTTGAGGTGTGTAAGTGGAGAGAAATACTCACACCAGTGAAATCACAGATCTTTTGAAGCAAAGAAGGTTTTTATATACTATTTCTCTCTCCCTCCAATTTGGAGCAAGAGAGAACATGCACTGATTGGACTGTGAATGCTGGAAAGAAGGAAGCAGAAAAACCAAGAGACAGAAAAGAGAAAAGCATTCTCATTTTTCCTAGTTATGTCACTAGTTTGGGAATGAACAAGTCTCAGTAAGTGTAGAATCATGGAACTTTAGAACCGTAGGCTGCAACAACTCAACGGTGGAGAAGGCTGGCAGGGACGCAGAACCAATACTTGACCCCAGGACCAATGATCAGAGTACACGTAGGCTCCTGGGATATCTTTTTTTTTTTTTTTTGTGAGGCAGTCAGGGTTAAGAGACTTGCCCAGAGTCACACAGCTAGTAAGTATTATATGTCTGAGTCCAGATTTGAACTCAGGTCCTCCTGGCTCCAGGGCCAGTGCTCTGATATCTTTTTAAATATTGTTTGTTCCTTTCTACAACACTTGACTTTGGAGTTCCATTTATGTCTGTTTTTATTTTGTAGTTAATATGCTTATGATCAAAATGCTTATTGGTTCCCAGCAAGTGAGCTGATTCAAATACTCTAGAATTAACCTAAATTTAGATCTTACAAGGAAGAGAGAAAAAGAGAGACTCTTTGGTTAGGGAGGACAGTCTTGTACCATATGAGCTCTCTCCTTGAGAATTCTCCAAGACTGAACCTGCTCTGTCTACCAAGAGTAGAGCACTTGACATTCAGGTTACATGAAGAATTAAATACAACTACTTTCATGGAACAAACTTTACCTATTAAAACTTACCTGTTAAAATGATGCCTAAGAATATCCACGCACAAAGGAAAAGATTTCCAACAAGAGGGCCATGTTTTGAAATAAGTTTTCCTTGAGCCAATGTAAAAAAAATTCCAAATAACTGAAATAAGACATGATAAGATAAGGAATTTTTATGGGAATGCAAAGAAATATGCACTTTCATATTTGTATCTCAAGAACCTAGCACTTTGTATTTAAAGATACATGATAAAGGCTTGTTGATTGGATATGTTAAACTTGATCTTAGAGAGGACTTTTCCTAACAATTTTTATTTTTCTAATTTGTGCTCTGGAAATCTACTATTAGAAGGGACAACTCTGGACACAAAGCACTGTCTATTAGGGAAAAAATATCAGTGGACATTCCTATTATGCAATCTCTTAAATTTCTAGCAAAGAATCTCTGGCCAGAAAATGCTCAAATTCAAGAATAATCAGAAACTTACCTGTGCAGAAGCATTCAGAAGACCTGATGAAGTGCCTTCAGATTCTGGGTATGTGATTTCAACAGCAAATTCAAAACCCAAGGGGAGATAACCAGTCATGAAGAAGCTAGAAAAACACATGCACGTTATGTAAACATTCATCACAAAGATTCTATCTTTGTTGTTCTGCTCCATCTAGACACCTTTTTCCCCTCTACTAACATGCTGGATACAAAGCTGACCGAGATAGAGAATCTCCTGCTGCAGGTCCTTTGACTGTAGTAAAACCCTTCCATGCCCAAGTTCATTTTTGTTCTGGGTATTCTAAACCACAGCGCTGCTTTCCCCTCTCTAGCTCGCTATTATGCCTCCTGCAGAAGGCCACTGGCTTGATTCTCTTTTCTCTACACAAATATACTTCGTGAGGAAAACTAAACCATTCTGGCAGACATACATATATCTTTTTCACAAGAAAAGGAATTGTAGTGTTTATGATATGAATTTAATCCCCCCCCCCCCCCAATATCGGCAATATGAAATGTACTGGGAGCAACGTCTTTGGAGAATACGGTAAGTATTCTTACTTATACATAATAAGGTGTATAATTTGTAAAAATGGTGAATAGTGGCAACAGTTTGAAATGCTTAATCTGCTACTGCACGAGTGCTAAAGAAACGCTGCTGACTGATCAGTTCACCTTGAATTCATTTGAGTTTAGTCAAGTTTATTCCTATATTATGAATTACTGGTCCTGTATCGTAAATAAGGAAACTTTGAGATTAACTAGTCAGCCCAAGGTTAACTTTGCTCTAAGTTTTTTACATTTAATTTCTTAGACCATACTATCTTTAATCAAATTTGTCTTTACACTTAAGTAAAACTGAATTGATTAAGCAGTTAAGTCTTTTCTACTCTCTACCTATGTAATATGTGCTTAGCAAAAAAAAAAAAACAAAACCAAAACCCAACCCCACCCCCCCCATTTTCCCATTCAGATACCAGGAGATATTGCAAAGTTTAAATAAAGTACTGTTTGATGAAATGGAAAGTCTTCTTTTAAGTTACTACAATAAATCTCTCAATACTGAGAAGTATTTTACCTTTTTCCCTTTCCTTTCTAATTCCAAAAGTCTATGACTCTAACCCAAGATTCTTACCCAAGTGCTCCTCCAGTAATAAACACAATGATAAGATGTCCAAGGTTCAAGGTAAAAGTAAATATAACCATTCCAATAAAAGACAATATGTAAACTATTAGAGTGGTCTGTCTAAAAAAAAACAAACAAAACACAATTATTATTATTATTATTACTATCATTGTTGTCGTTGTTGTTGCTGTTAGAGCCTGAACATCTTGATCACAAAATAAACGATGGCTGCCTATTGCCATGCCTGTGCAGTAACAATACTTTCTAGTGGCTAAGATTCAAAACTATTATATTGTCAACAGGGAGGAGGTCAGACTTAGTCACAAAAAACGGTTTTAGTCCCTCACAAAGCCAGAGTTCATACCTGCGTAGGGCAGGGACCCTTGGAATGAAGAAAAACATGGCTGTTCCTACTTTTGAATGAGACTGCATCTTTCCTCATCCTTCAAGGATTGGCTCAAATCCCACCTTCTTTTCAAAACTTTCTCTGACTACTTTTGTCCACAATATTTTCTCCCTCTCCCGAATTCCCACAACACCCCACTATTGGTGACAATGATACTTAATCATTTATTTCCTGTAACAATACTTGTTTTGTTATTACTTGTCATCTACATTTATCTTATCTCCCACACTAGATTGTAAGGCCTACATTATATTTGTATTATCTACAATATCTAAGATAGCATTATGCATACACTAGGTGTTCAATAAGTGTTTAAGGAATGAATGAGTGAATGACATCAAGAGTAGGAAGAGATCCAGGAGCTCAAACAATCTTAGAACTGAAAGGGACCTTAAAGGCCAATACATCCAAACAATTATCCAACGTATAAATAAGCTCCAATAATTATTTCTGAAATAAAAATGTATTTTCCCATGGAATTCTGAAGGTTTTTCATGTCCATAAATATATGAGGTTTTAGAAATTTACTCTGAACCTTAGAGAAAATTCCCTTGATATTCAAAAGTTATCAAATTATCTCTTCTGTGGTCTTTGAGAGATTACGACTGTTGTTATTCTACAGTTTCAGAAGATAAAATTTGAAATCCATATCTATTTCATCATTTTGAGCTTATCTCCTCTCCCTCCCCCCAATTAAATTCTTTGTTTTTGGTCTAGTTGAATCCTAGTGGGGATAATGTACATCGGAATATCAACAACAGAAACACTCAGTACTGGAAGAGAAAAAAACCTTTTAGGGGGGAAAAAGATTATCCACTATTTATGACTCTTCAGTCAGATCTCACTGAATTTTTTGAAGCTCTCTTGTGAACGGGATAAGAGTACCACTTGTAGTCAGAACTTTAAATTCAACAAACATTTACTGAGCCCCTTTTATGAGGCTAGTACTGAGATTAGACTTAATCACTTCCTGAATGGGGTTTGGGGGGGCGGTGCGTGTTAAAAATGACTAGGAAGCTCCTAAGTCAAAGAAAAGGAAGAAGGGATGAATCAATTCCTTGGATTTAGGAATCTACTGATACTCTGATCAGGGATATCAGTTGTAAAAGGTCAGAAGATGATCAAAAGTAAAGAGGCCAAAAGTTCAAAAGTAAAATTGGCAGTCAAATACAGAGAGTCAGCAGACATTGCTACTACAAGGATACCACAGTACAATTAATTTCTGGGGAACAAGGAAGTTTTGAAGAGTAGGTGCTTCCATTGTGCAACAACATCCCCTGTGTGAGAAGACAAGTTTAAAAAGCAATATATTTAAATAACGGATTGGAGCACATAGTCAATATGGAGCCAGGGAGCTCTCATTACTATGCTAAAAACCATATTTAGAAGCCTACAACTTTCATTTAACACAACCCAGGAGGAAAAAAAAATCCTGTTGGTCTTATGTCATATTCCTCCTAGGATCAAAACTCCCTTTCTAATAAAGTCAGTCTGGTTGGCACATTTACTACTACAGAGAGCCAAGTTACAGCACATTTACTATTTTTACTTACTTGTACGTTTTGGTGTAATCCAGCCACAAGCCACAAAAAATGGAGCCCACCATTCCTGCTACAACTAGAGTAAGCCCAATCAGTCCAGCACTGACTTCTTCTCCCTTAAAAGTTTTCATATAGCATTAATTAGATATTCCCTTCAACACAAATTAGTTCCTTACATTCCTGGACTTTCTTAGAAATTTCAAGTAATCAAATAAAACTAAAATGTAAAATAAGAAGGTGTAATCTCTGTAACAGGTATAAGTCTAGGTAGAATGAAGGAGATAAGAGAACTCTATTCAACAAAAAACCCCTTTAAATCTATGAAAATAATCCAAAAAGATGCAAAGAAAAAGTTTATTTAATTCTCTGTAGCCATAAGTGCAGCAATTTTCAAGGGATTTACAATTGCCTAAAAATTATTTTATTCTACTGGAAGCAAAGATATGCTGGACCAAAGTTAGAGATATTTGCTTATTTTATCATTTTTTCCTCCTAATATTCTAATGTTTTCTTTTTCTCTATCTCCATCAGCACTAATCAAAATCTGTATAAATATTAGTTGATTAAATTCTGTCAATGACAACTATTAAAAATGCTTTACATGTTTAGATATTTAAGAATTAGTCTCAATCTCTTCTTTCAATACAAATATAGAAAAAATTTAATTATGCAAAAATTAATGAATTAAGGAGAGAATACTTAATCCTAAGATATTCCTTACAGGGTCTCACTATACTGCTAAATAAAAATCCTAGGCAAAATCTCACCTCATAATATGTCAAGATCATTTGGTTTAATAGTGTTGAGACCGAATAAAATGACCCAGTCATAATACCTATAACAACAGAAAACATTAAATGCATTAGTCCATAAAATACAGTAGTAGCAAAAATTTTTTAAACACAAACTGAAAATTCATTTTAGAGGTCTAATAAAGGGAAGAGTTGTTTCCAACTCCTTTAAGAATTTGAGCTATGGAAATCGTGAGGATACCCATCAATTGGGGAACGACTGAACAAGTTGTAGTGTATGATTGTAATAGAATATCATTATGCTACAAGAAATGACAAGTAGGATGATTTCAGAAAAACCTGGAAACATTTACATGAACTGATACAAAGTAAAGGGAGCAGAACCAGGAGAATACTGTATATAATAACAGCAATATTGTACAATGAACTGTGAATGACTTAACTATTTTCAGCAATGCAATGATTCAAGACAATCCCAAAGGACTCATGATGAAAAATCTATCTGCCTCCAGAGAAAGAACTGATATTGTCTGATTACAGACTTGAAGCATGCTCTTTTTCTTTCTTCCTTTCTTTTTTGAGTTTTCTTATACAAAATGACTAATAAGGAAATGTTTTACATGACTGCACATGTATAACCTATATCAGATTGCTTACCATCTCAGGAAGGGGGGAATAGAGGGAGGAATAGAATTTGGAACTCAAAACTTTTTAAAAAAATTGTTAAAAATTGTTTTAACATGTAAATGGGGGGAGGAAATAAAATATTTTTTAAAAAAAGAATTTGAGTTAATAAAATCTACCCACCTTAATTTACTAGATGTAACTAAGGTAGAATTCTGTCAAAACACAACTCATTATTATTCTGGTTCAGTATATCATATTCAAATTAAGTCCTTGAAACACAATAAACCATATCTCTCAAATAAAAATCCAACTATTGAGTATCTACCATATAGCTCCAACAATATGAGCAACATAGAAGTCCTTGTTGGTGAGACATGAATAATACACATGAAACAATTACCATAAAAGTCTGAATGTAATTAAATCCTGAGTGATGAATGCTGCTCAAGGAAACAGATCAAGTGGTTAGTTTGCCAATCAAAAAAATCCTTGGAAGATATCATAAAAATAATCAAGTTCTAAGGGTTTAGAAATGCAGAAGATGCTGAAACCTGAGGAAAACAGGAATGAGGAGAGAAGGAAAGGCTAGAAAAAATGGCAAAAAAAGGGGGGGGCTCTAGTCTTAATGAAAGAAATGAAGAGATTTAAAATAATGAGACTAGAAAAAAGTATGTTAATTATGATTGGCTTTAGTTGTGTAGTCAAAATAGAAGTCAGACTGCCAAGGGTCAAAAGGAGTTGATTATTAAGAAAAGGAGAACTAGAGATGTAGCCTTTGTGCTCAAGTACTACTGTAATAAAAAAAAAAAAGTCTAAGCAGAAGCTACATTGCGGGGGAAGGGCCACAAAAGGTGGGGGAGCCTCTCTGCTAGAGGCCTATTTTGCCCTAATTTAACAAACTGCAGTGAGGGACTTCCTTACATTTATGCATAGAAGTTCAGAATCCTCATGTCAGTTCTATGGCATTAATAAAGTTGGCTCATTAATCACAGTTTAATTCAACTAAATAAAGATAACCATACTGTTGCATACTCTATAAACATATTACAACAAAGAAAATAAAATACTTTACTTACCATAACTAATTAGCAAAAGCACGAAGGGCATATTTTTAAATAAATTCATTATTGATTGTTTATAGGAATACTCTGAGACATTGTGTTGGATAACTGCTTGAGATTCACTTGGTGGAAATGGAGGCTTTTCTTTGAATGCTAGAAAAAGAAAAAAGTCAACAGTTATTATATTAATGAGTATGACTAAAGGTCTCTGATTCATTTCTGACTTAAAGATCTAAAGAAACCCTTTTAATAAAGCTTCTCATTTTTACCTAATTATTTATGAGAGAGAATAATTTTCACTCTTTTGCTTGAGTTTATGCATATTTGTTCCTCCGGGGATAGAGAACTGAACATTTTGACCAAGTGGGTTGAGAAAACACCAAAGTCATGCCATGGTTCTGCTGAATAGCTATGTTATTCAGTATACATTAAATTAAGAACATTTCATTTTTTCTAGAAATTCTATTTCTAGCCTAATTTTATTTTGTTAGACTCAAGCTTCAGATTTAAACAAGCCTATACACCCACACTTTTGTTAAATGTAGTGAGCTAGTAAACTTGTAAAAAAAACTTGATATTCAAATTCATCTGATATAATTCTGCCCCTGCAACTCAAAAGTCTTGTTCTAAGTCATGCCTAAGGGAAGCACTGGATCTTGCTAACCTTCCCAACCCCAATATAGACAATGAAAGGTATGAACATTATTAGACTTCCCACCCAACTTTCTGTAAAAGGACAAGATTTCTTTAGTTAAGAAAGAGAATATATTTTAGGAGACAAGATGAGCAGGTAAAATTTGAGTGGGTAAAATTCAATATTGATAGAATAAAATAAATTCAATACTGTGAAAAAGGGAAAAGAAAAGGGAAAAAATTGCCACCAGATTTTTTTTTGAGGGGGGATTGTTAAGAAATAATAATTCTCTTTCCAAAATGGTTTATGTACATAGCTGCTTGAGAGGCAGGAAAATGGGCTAGATAACATTTCAAAAGTTTTTTCTAACCCTAGAATTCTTCAAAATTTCTGTTCAAAAATAAAGGATTATAATTATTAAGGCCCTTTGTTGTTCAAAAGATTGGTTCTCTAAAACCAAAGTTGTCTAATTAACCTAGATGTCTATCCCTGTCAAGTCTTATATAAAATTATGTAGTAAACAACTTAAAGATATTTAATCTTCATTGTCCTTACATTAGAGAAGACAAAATGTTTAAACTGTTACTGTCCTTCTTTTTCCTTTCACTCTATCTGGTTCTTTCAGTGATGAAGAAGTCTGTTGTCATTCTTTGCAAGTCTCTCATTAGATGGGAAATGTCCCATCTTGTTGTCACTGGTAATACATAATTCACAACTATACACTAGGCTTTTAGAATTTGAAAACTGTACACTTATGAAGCAATAATGAAACTTTGATATTAAGCTTTTTCAGTTAATTATAGCAAAATGAAGGTCTGGATGGTCCTTCTCTATCTTCTATCTCAAAAAGAACTTTTTATTCCAAATGTTAATCTCACCCAATTTATTGACTAGAGCACATGGATGCTAACCCATAACCACTAGTAGCTGACTGCCCTCTTGGCCAAAGAAGGGAACTAACTCCCCTGGCCTATATTGCCCATATTCTTTACTTTACCTAAGTACAAAACCAGAGAGAGAAAAGAAACTCTGGGCAATGGCATCCAGCTCTATTACTAGGGGGAACAGAAAACATAGCTTAGACTGTAGCTTTGTAAAGTCCACTGGGCTGAAATAGGGATAGTTCTACTACTGACTACAATCTTCAACTTTTCTCTTTTCCTTCCTCAACCAACACCAGCTCCAGCTAAGGTGTGCTACCTAGGACTAAGGTGTAAAGGACAACAATTCTCCCATCTCTTGCATCATCAGTACATGTAAGGAAACCAAAAACTCCTAATGCACTGCTAGCCCCTTTCCTCTCAAGCTTCAACAGACCCAAGTTCTGCTTCCTTGGGCAAGGTTTGAGATATGTTATTGTTTTACTTATTTGCCTGTGTGTGACTAAAACAACTATTAAATACTGTTTTCAAGATAAATATTACTTAGTACTTATAGAATTATTTTTCAAAAGAACAGGACTTCTGCCTTACTCTGAATACCTGAACTACCTTTGAACCCAATAAAATTTTATAGTTGCTATTAAAAGTTTATGATCATTTTGCATGTATACCTTAACAAGGCTTAGAAGCGGAAAGCACATATCAATGAGGAACATGTAAACTCCTTGAGGGCAGGAACTATTTCACTGTTGTATCTCTGCCATATGATACAATGGAAAAAAGCACTAGAATGAGAGTTGAAGGACCTTGGTTCACACATCCCATTTGTGTTGTTTGTTTACACATAAGACTTTGGGCAAGTCCTTCAATTTCTCTTGGCCTCAGTTTCCTCATCTGCAAAATGAAGAGGTTGGTTCTACTAGGTTGAAATAGGGATAGTTCTACTACGGACTACAATCTCCTCCTTTTTTGTTTTCCTCCCTCAACCTACACCAGCTCCAGCTAAGGTGTGCTACCTATGACTAAGGAGTAAATGACAAGGTAAAAATAAAGATCTCAGAGGATAACTCTATGACCTATGCAGTAGCTCCACTACAAAACAGTGCCTGGAACACAGTAGGCATGTAAAAAAGTTTGTGGATTCTTTGAATATTAATGTGCTTAGATGCATTATTGTTTCTGATTAGGCATGACTGCTTATATCTTTTGACTATTTCAAATATTAATATGTAATACTTAAAGAGATTTGTACACTATAGACCTGTAATTGCCATGATCAAGGCTGGTAAATGCAGCTTACTTTTTACTGTGCAGAATCAGCCCTAAGTATATTTGTATCATCACTTATAAAACATGTTATCGATAGATTTTAAATTAGAAGAAGAAGGTGGCACAGATTAAATTAATAATATGCTGACACTTCACAATACCACCACCTGTTTTACAGTAGAATGAGTTCAAACAACTACCCTAAGTCCCTCAAGGTCCAGTCATGAAATCTCTCTTCTTTTCTTATCTCCCCTTCTAGCCCGCAAGCTCCATGAGGGTAAGGGTCATGTGCTACTTTATCTGCCTCACTGCCTGGTACACAGTGCTTTGAACATTGCCGATGCTCAAGAAACTTGTTAAATTTTTTTTACTGGTCAAAAGTAGATTGGTTCTGCATCTTTTCTAAAGGAATTTATTTGCTGGAAATGCCAGACAAATCTTATCCCAATATTATTTCACTTACTTAAATAGAAACAGAGGCCACTAAACCACATATAAGGCACAGTGACTTACAAAACCACATATTAATATTACCTATGTTTTATTGTATTTTTATTTCTTTTGTCAAATATTTCCCAATTACGTTTTAATCTGATTCAGCCTGTACTTGGGAGTGTTGGAGGCTGGAGGCTGCATGTTTGATACCTCTGCTCTAAACTATTAAGTCAACTACAATTAGGTATTATTTTGCCTCATCTCTCCCTGTACTTACTCCTTCAATTTCTTATTCTCTTCTCATTGCGGAACTAGCAGTTCTAGAACTATATCAAATAATAACGGTGACAACAGAAATCCTTTCTTTACTCCCAATCTTACTAGAAAGGCTTCTAGCACTTCTCCATTAGAAATGATAGCTTTTGGTATCTACTGTTTATCAAAGTTGTTTTTATTCCTATAATTTTCAAAGTGGTTTTTTTAAAGGATAAATTAGTATTATATCTTACCAAATGTCTTTTTTTGTATTTCTATAACCATGCAATTTTTATTGTTTTATTATTATTATTGTTTCTTACGTTTATGTAGCTTTCCTAATGATGAACCATCTCTATGTTCCTATTCCCCTTCCTATGGCCCAACTTGGCCACAGTGAATACTCTCTTGAATATACTGCTGTAGGGCTTTCTTTTTCTTCCCTCTCCACCTCATCCCCCTTTTAGATTTCAGGACCATATTTGTCTTATCGATGGAGTTTGGTAAGGTACCTTCTTTCTCTCTTTTAGCAAATTTATGTAATACAGGAATTAATCATCATTTGAATATCTGATAGAATTCACTTGTAAATCCATCTAGGCAAATGAATTTTTTATTTCCTCTTCCGGATATGTTTTTCTAACCACTATTCTACTGTAACTCTTAATGTCTCACATGCCATGAGAAGCCTATTCTTTTCATAGGGTCCAATGGAATACATAGCCCATTGGGGCAGCAGGTATTTTCTATGATTAGAGTGTTCTGTCAACTCTTTTTTCCACTCTTATTACAAAAATGAATCTTATACCTCAACAAAATTTTATAAACAGTAACACTAAAATTACAAATTATGTAAACATATACACTTTTACTTTCTCACATTATTCACAGAAAACAAGCATTTGGAAGTAGGAAGGCCAAAAGATAAGTTTTCATATTAACAAGAAATAAAAAGTACAAAATAATCATATTTTTTAAAGGCACAGAAAAATATCCTGCTCTAATTGGAAGGCCATATATAAGTAAGCAAGTTTAAAAATGGCTACCACAAAAGCAGATTTCTAAATTATATCTTTTCCAAATAAAAATACAACTTTTTTTTTTTTTTTTTAGTGAGGCAGTCGGGGTTAAGTGACTTGCCCAAGGTCACACAGCTAGTAAGTGTCAAGTGTTTGGTCTGATGCCGGATTTGAACTCATTTTCTCCTGACTTCAGGGCCGGTGCTCTATCTGCTGCATCACCTAGCTGCCCCAAAAATACAACTTTCTAAGGCAGCAAGAATAGGTCATAGATAATTATATATTCTATTTAATTCCTTTTTAATATACTCACATGCCAGAAAGTTGCAATCTCAAATTAATATAATAATTCAGTACATAAAGTGTTGGGAAACCCAAAGTAAATTGATGATTCTGCATACTTAACATAACCACCATGACTATCTACAATTTTTAATTAGTCTTATGGGAAATTAAGGATGTGGATTGTACCTCTTGGACCCTCAATTTTCATTTACGGAGACAGTCTATGATGAAGCATTCTGTACAATCTTCAGCCAAATATGTTTGTGAGTATTTTCCATAAAAGTAGTCTTTCATTAGTGTTACATTCACAGTAAAAAAAAAAAATTAGAACATGGACATATAAAAATCAAATTCACATTAAAATGACAGGTATTTTACAATACAAAACCATTTTTATTGATACTTCTTTCTTCAATTAGCAAATATTTATTAAGTTCCTCAGAATGGTATAGTAAGAAAAGTGCTGGATTCGGGGTCAAAACACCTGGGTTCAAATATGGCCCTGCCACTTACTACCTGTGTGACCATGAGAAAGTCACTTAACTTTGTTTTCTCATCAGTAAAATGAGGAGATTGGATTACACAGCATTGAAGGTCTCTTTCGATACTATTATGCTTCTGAGTTACTACAGGCTCAGTGCTGTGATTTTCTCTTTGAATTTAATTGCCGGAAGTTAATATCAATTTAACAAGTTTCACCAGTTCTTCCCCCTGAAGCCACAAGAATTGTTTCCCCTTAAAAAAAACAAAAACTTTAAAAGCCAACCTTCCCAGAGCTTCTTCCCAACTGACGGTGGCAGTGTGCAGCTGAGTTTGACTGACTGCTTCAGGGCAGGACCAGACGATATGGTGAACACTCAGTGATGAATGTCTGCAGCAGCCCGAGTGGCCTAACAAGTAGATATTTGCCACAGTTGGAAACTGACCAACAGTCTGCTGCTGCTCAACATCTGCCCAACATTTTCAGACTCAGTTAATGTAAAGGGAGGAATGGGAGGGGAGGGCAGGTAGAGACAAGAAGTTCCCTGGAAAGGATTACAATTAAAGGATGGGAAAAGTCCATATGTATAACTTCAAAAAAAAAAAAAGCACAAGTCTGACCCTGAGCAGGTTAGTATAAGATGAAAATATTAGAGGAAAGAAGAAATGGCCAAAGGGCAATAATCTTTAAAAGCAGCGGTTAGCAGGATGAACTGAAAAATTAGTAGAGATACGCAAGACTAACTAGACTTACAATTCAGTGCATTATTAAAAAGATTGAACTGATTTGCTGGGGTTACTCTCATGGCATTCCAAAAATAAGGCATGAACCAAAAGCAAGCAAGTGACATCTGAGATATTATGAATAAGCAACTTCAACAGGTGATCATTTTTTTACGTTCTTCTACTATATGCACTCTACTTAAATTTTAGGAAAAACAAGTTTGCTTACCAATTACGGTTAGTATGAATAAAAATGTGGCAACTGACGCTGTTCCATAGAACATGATGCTGATATTGTGTGCCATGAGAGTAGTGTCGTTCTTTGTATTGGGCACCAAAACTGGCGGTAACAAAAAGCCAACTGCAACACCAAGCTACAAAATAAATACCAAAATAAACAATTGTAAAAACTGTTCATCAGGTTTTCCCAATCCTGCAAATGTACTGAAATTTAACAGAATATCAGTGTTAAGAAGAGTTACGGACAACTCACATCTGCTTTCTTTATATGTTTTCCTTAATAAAAGATAATTATCCTAAAACCGACTTAAAACAGGAAAAGATTCCTTTTTTTAAAATGTACTTTAGCCAATTCCATGGAACAAATTCAGTAACTTTTACTTCAATTACTTGATTTTAGATACCCAAAAGCCAGTTTTATTTTCTACTTGAAAGTTCTGTCAGTTTGAATCCTCAGTTTTTCACTGAATCTCAGAATTTTAGAGTTGAAAAGTATCCAGTCTAATCTATACATGAAAAATAATTCCCTCTAGTACACAATACCCTCCAAAAGCAGTCCTCCATACTCTGACTGCAGACCTCCAAAGAAGAGGAACCCGTTACTTCAGCCTGTTCCACTTTTCTGCTAGCTCTCTTAAGGAATTTCTCCCCGTATTGAGCCAACATTTGCTTCCTCCACCCCCACCCCAAATTCTGTCTTCTGCTCCAAAGTCAACCCTCTGGACTTAAGCAAAACAAATTTAATGCCTCTTCTGCGTGACGGCCCTGCAAATATTTGAAGACAATGATCATAGTCTCCATTTCCCTCCAAGTATTCTTTCCTCCAGTAACTTCAACCAATCCTCTTGTGGAGTAACTTAAGGTCCTTCAGTATCCTAGATGTCCTTGGCAAGACACTCTCCAGCTTATCCATGTTCTTCCTAAACTGTGAAGGCCAGAATTGAACACAATATTATAGTTATGGTCTCACCAGGGCAGAGTACATCAAGATGACTGCATCCACATTCCTGGATGTGTGGCAGTAGAAAGGTTGTCCTTGGATAGATAATTAAGCAAATAAAAATCAAATACAATGGTTTAATTTAGGAGGTAGGTGAATTCTTAGTGTAAGATTAATAGGCATTTTTAAATAGTTTTGAATTTTAGAGCTGGAAGAAATTTCATCAATCATTTTAAAGAATCATTATGGTGCAGTGAATGCTGGTCTTGGAATCAAGAAGGCCCTGAGTTCAAACCCCACTTTCACTAGTTATATAACTGTGGGCAAGGTACTTCTATGCTGCTCAGGTTAGTCATGTGTCAAATAGGGGTAATAGTTGTAATACATCCCCTCATTGGGTTATCGTATAAAGTAATCTTAATCTATTATATATCTACTATGTGCCAGGCAGTGTGCTAAATGCTAGGGAAACAAAGAGGCAAGACAATCCATGCCCTTAAGGAGCTTACGGTCTAATAGGGGAGATAACATGAAATAAAGCAAGCTATGTACAGGATAAATAGGAAATAATTATCAGAAGGAAGGCACTAGAATTAAGAGGGGCTGAGAAAGGCTTTCTGTAGAACCTTAGGTGTATTTTAGTTGGGTAATCTATGTAAATTGATTTTCAGTAGCATAAATATCAGGTCCCCTAATTTTATGGATGAGAAAACTTCAGCTCAAAAAGGTTAGTGGCATGCCCAAAGGTCACACACAATGAGTTTAAGAGCCTTCTTCATTTTTATGGATGAGAAAATTTCAGCTCAAAAAGGTTAGTGACAAGTCCATAGGTCACACGGTATGTTTAAGAGCTCCCCTCACTTTATGCATGACGAAATTGAGGCTCAAAATGGTTAGTGAGATGCCCATGGGGAGTTTAAGAAGACTTCCTCAGGCAGGGCCAAGATGGCAACGGAAAGGCAGCAACCCAGCTGAATTCTATCAACATTACCCTCCAAACACAGAGGGGAATTTTAACTTTAACTTTAACATTTTTAACTTTAACTTTAGACATAGAGGCTCCCATCAAATTTTGGAGTGGCAGAGCCAACAAAAAGGTTGGGGTGAGACATTTTTCTAGCTTAAGACAACTTGGGAAATCAGCAGGAGAGGTGACACCAGACTTGGGGCTGGCCCAAAATGCACACGGAAGCAGCACCAGTAGCAGGTCTTGGAGGAGACTGCAACAGCACAGCATCTTTGGGAGCTCTCAGTCAAGAAATGCGAAGGAAGTCTGACTTGTCAGAAAGAGATTAGGGGGGCCCTTTGCTGGCACTGATTGACAACTGTATAGCCCATATACAATTCTGGGTTTTATTTCCAGGGTAAAGAGGAGCTCTCGTGGTTGGTCACAAGGGAGCAAATACCCTGGTCACAGTTCCAGAGCAGAGAGGAGTGCCTGTGGCTACAGGACAGCAGGGGCTCTGGACACAGTTTCAAAGCAAAGAGGAGTACTAATACTTGTGGTTACAGGGGAGCAGGGCCTCTTCATGAGTAAGACCAGAGTGAAGACGAGGAGAGCAGCAACTATATCCATCCCCAGATCACACCATCTTGGAAGCACCAAAAACTTGCCGACACCCTGAACTAGCTCTAAAAACAACAGCATGAGAAAGCTTGAAGCTTGGGAGAGATGAACATAGCCCAACTTTAACAAAAAGTTAAAAGTCAAGAAACAGACTGGAAAAATGAGCAAACAACAACAAAACTTGACCAAAAAAACCTACTATGGTGGCAAGGAAATGGTTAGAAGCAAAACAGACTTTTGAGGAGGACAGGATAAAGAGAGAAAAGGATAAACAGAAGAAAATAAGATGGAGGGAAATAAAGTTAGTAATCATAATTGTGAATGTGAATGGAATTGAGCTCACCCATAAAACAGAAGCAGAAAGCAGAATGGATTAGAAACTAGAATTCAACAATATGATGTTTAAAAGAGACACACTTGAAATAGAAAGACATCCACACAGAGTTAAAAGAAGGGGTAGAACTATTTGCTTGAGCTGAAGTTAAAAAAAAGGCAGAGGTATCAATCATGATTTTGGACAAAGCAAAAGCAAAAAGAGACCTAATTAAAAGAGATAATCAGAGAAACTATCTTTTGCTAAAAGTATCATAGACAATGAAGAAATATCAAAAAATTTTACAGCAAGTTTCTCTGACAGAACTCATTTCTCGAACATATAGGGAAATGAGTAAAATTTATAAAAAATATGAACCATTCCCCAACTGATAAATGGTCAAAGGATATGAAGGGTCAGTTTTCAGAAGATGAAATCAAAGCTATCTATAGTCATAGGAAAAAATGCTCTAATCACTAATGATTAGAGAAATGCAAATTAAAATAACTCAGAGGTACCACTTCACACCTATCAGATTGGCCAACAGTCAAATTGGGAGGGAATGAGGCAAAATAGGTACATTAATGAACTGTTAGTAGTCCAACCATTCTGGAGAACAATTTGGAACTATGCCCAAAGGGCTATTTAAAAGTGTGCATACCCTTTGACCCAGCATACCACTACTAGGTCTGTACCCCAAAGAAAAAAGAAAAAGACCTATATGTACAGAAATATTTATAGCATCTCTTTTTGTGGTGGCAAAAAACTGGAAATTAAGGAGATGTTCATCAATTGGGGAATGGCTGAACAAGATGTGGCATGTTATTGTGATGGAATACTATTGTGCTATAAGAAATGGTGAGCAGGATGGTAATGAACTGATGCAAAGTGAAGTGAGCAGAACCAGGGGGTCATTGTAGATAGTACAAGCAGTATTGTAATGATGATCAACTGTGAAAGACTTAGCTACTCTGATCAACACAATGATCCAAGACAATTTCAAAGGACTCATGAGGAAAAAATGCTGTCTGCCTCCAGAGAGAGAACTGATGAACTCTGAGTGCATATTGAAGTATAAAAATTTTTCACTTTTTTTGCCATATGGTTACTATGAAAATATATTTTGCATGATTTCACATGTATAATTGATATCAGATTGCTTGCCTTCTCGTTGGGTTGGTGTGGAAAGGGGTAAGAAGGACAGAATCTGGACCTCAAAATAAAAAAAAATGTTAAAAACAAATAATTTTTGAGTGTTTTTTTTTATAACCCATAAAAAAAGGGTAGCTAGGTTCTTCAGTAGATAAGAGCATTAATTAGACCTAGAGTAAGGAAGATCTGAGTTTAAATCCAGCTTCAGATAACTTACTAGCTGTGTAACCCTGGGCAAGTAATATAACCCTGTTTGCCTCAGTTTCCTCATCTGTAAAATTAGTTGGAGAAGGAAATGGAAAACCTCTCCAGTATCTTTGCCAAAACCCCACATGGGGTCCCAGAGAGTTGGTTGTGAGTTGGACAGGACTGAATAACGCCCCCCCCCACAAAAAAGACTCCCCTCCCCCATTGGATGAGAAAATTTCAGCTCAAAAAGGTTAGTGACATGCCCACAAGTCACACAATGAGTAGAAGGAGCATCCCTCATTTTATGGCGGGGAAAATTTCAGCTCAAAAAAATTAGCAAAACAAGCTGTAGTTTGATTATAATGGAATATTATTGCGTTGTAAGAAATGACAAGCAGGATGATTTCAGAAAAACCTGGAAACACTTACATGAACTGATGCATAGTGAAGTGAACAGAACTAGGAGAACACTCTACATAGTAACAGCAATATTGTTCGATGAACAACTGTGAATGACTTAGCTGTTCCCAGCAATACAATGATCCAAGACAATCCCAAAGGCCTAATGATAAAGCATACCATCTACCACCAGAGAAAGAACTGATACTGATTGAATACAGACTGATGCATGCTATTTTTCACTTTCTTTCTTTTTTTTTCTTTTATTCGGGTTTTCTTGTACAAAATGACTAATATGGAAATGTTTTACATAATGGCTCCTGCATAACCTGTATCTGATTGCTTACTATCTCAGGGAGGTGGGGAGGGAAAAGAATTTGGAACTCAAAACTTTAAATAAAAATGTTTTTTAAAAGAAGTTAGTGACATGCCCGTACATAGGTCACTCAGTGAGTTTAAGATTTGCCCCCTCATTTGATGAATAAGAAAATTTCAACTCAAAAAAGTCAGTGACAATGCCCAAAGGTCACACAGGGAGTTTAAGGAGCCCCCTTATTTTATGGATGACAGAACTGTGGCTCAAAAAGGTTAGTGCCATGCCCACGAGTCAGCCTGGGCGCTTGATGACAGCTCCAGAACTAATGATTCTTTTCCCATTGAATCGGAACCCGCATCCGACTGTCAGCCTGTAGCTTCATTCATTCGTCCCCTCCCCGCCCTTCTGGCTAGGCCAGGGTCTCGCCCTGCCCCTTCCTTACCTGGTTCCCCAGCACAGCCGTGGCACAGGCGGTGGACACCTCGCGGGGTCCGAACCACACGGAGGCTACGTGGGAGGGCAAGCCCAAGATGAACACCTGCGCCACGGAGCACAGCAACTGGCCCAGCATGGTGACCCAATAGAGGTCCCTGGCCACGCTGCCGCACTTGACCCAGGCGCCCAGCGCGTTGAAGCCCGAGCCGAGCAGGGCAGTAAGGCGCAGGCCCCACTTGTTCAGCAGCCAGGCGGCGGGGAAGATGAGCGGCACGTAGACCAGCATGTAGATCATGGAGAGCCAGTCGATGTCCATCGAGGGCACGCCGTAGAAGTCCTCGAAAACGTTGCTGATGATGCTGTACTGGATCCACTGGAAGGCGTTGACCAGTGAGTACAGGCTGAAGATGAGCAGCACGGCGAAGCGCCGCGAGGACAGCGCCGTCCGCGCGACGCGGGGCCCCTGCTCCGCCCCGGCCTCGGCCTCGCCGCCGCCGCGGAGAAGCAGGGGGACCAGCCTGGCCTGGGGCTCCTCCTCCTCCTCGCCGAGCTGGGACTTGTCAAAGCTCCCCAAGGCGGGGGCGGCGGCGGCGAACAGCGGCTCCCCGTTCGCCGAGGCCACGCAGGTTCCATTCGCCCGCTTGCCCTCCGGCTCCCCCTCGGCAGTTAGGTGGTTGTTCGAGCGGGGAATCCCGACCTCCGCCAGGCTCACCTCCTCCTGCTCCGCTGCAGCCGCTGCCGCTTCGGTCATGTCCCTCCGGGCGCCCGGTCAGGCACCACGCGGCCCCAGGCCGCGCCAGCCCCCGCCTCCGCCCCCACTCTCACCCCTCCCCCGCCCCTGCCCTCGGAACCTAGACCAGCGGCGGCGAAGGTCGACGGACAGCAGCCACCGTGGCGGCTCCGCCACAGCTGGAGATGGCTTCCACCCACTGAGCGCCCGGGGAAAATCGGTCTCGAAAGGGGGCCCTCCCGGCTGTCCGCCCCGGCCAATCAGCGTGCTGCTCGTCGTCGCGTTGGGCCAATCCGAGCCGCTGAAGGAGGGGCAGGAGAAGAGAGGGGAAGGAAGGATTCGGGTGTGGGAAGAGTAGAGGAGAGCGTGGCTCACGGCTCCCGAGCAGGGTGGAAAGAATCAATAGCCCCAAGGAAGGCTGTGAAGGGCGGCGAGGGGAGGGAAGGGGAAGCCTGGGAATCTGGTGTGTGCTCTGTAGGGAAGGGAGATGGAGGAAGCAGGGGTGGAAAAAGAGAAAGGAACGGAGAGGGAGACACAAAGACACACGACACCAGAGGACGGCGGAAAGGGACAGCTTAGAAAGCGGAGACAGTTACTATTATGGCCACTAGAGAGTATTTAAGAGGGATGCAGAAGTGGACACAGAGTGAGGCTTAATCTGGCCTTTAACCGTGAAATTTGACCTTTTAGGGCAGGAATAGCAAAGTTTTCTCTAGTTCCAGTTTTTGTTGTTGTTTTCTTTCTGTTTCTTTCATCCTTCCTTCTTCTCTTCCTTCCTCCCTTCTTTTTTCTCTGTCTCTCTCTCTCTGATGGGCTCGGAATTCATTCTTGAAAACATTAAACAGAAGAGCAAGGTAGAGAACCAGCGAGGAGTCCTGCCTCCTTTGTGCATGAAGACTCCCTCCTCTTTCTAATCCTCCCGGGCCTTGTGTCAAACCTGCACTCTCAAGAACAGTTAGCATTTTGGGTTAAGATTCACTGAGCAATCTCTGGCTGCTTTGTATATCTCAAGGACAAGACAGAAAATCTGGTGGTCTCTTCCTTATACAGGACTCCTTCAAGTGATTACTAAAGGCACATGAAACTCTGCTGTAGGAACTCTTTCCAGTGCTCAAGTCAAGCAAATCAATCACTCGAACAAATATTTATTAAGCACTTACTATATTCCAGGTACTATGCTAGGTATCGGGATACATGTACAAAGAATGAACCATCCCTACTCACAATAAGCTTATGGCCTATTGGGAGAGACAACAACCAATATATACCGCATAATATGAAATGAATAAATATTAATATTTACAGAGTAGTTAAATACAAGGTAGTTTGGAAGGGAGGAAACTAGCAGTTGGGAGAATCAGGAAAGTTAGCAGGCAGATGATGGTGCTTGAGCTGTCTCTTAAAGGAAGAGAGGAATTCTGAGGTGGAGGTGGGAGAGACTGCATTCCATGCATGTAGGATGGCCAGCCTATTTATACCCACCATGCACCTTTCCTTAACCCTTTTATACAATACTTAATTTTAGTTCTTTGGAGTCAGTGGTATTTCACATCTGGCTGCTATATAACAATACCAGTAAATATTAGTATTGAAAATGTTACTTTCCTGGGAAATTTTGGACAAATAAAGCAACTTCACAATTTTCCACAAGTAATTTAGCCTACTCACCTCCTTTTCAAATCTGGGCCTAGATATGTCCCAGATATACATACTGTTGGAATACTATCAGCTATCCATCTAGATGCAGGTTGAAAACTAGGCAATAGCCATTCTTTATCCATTTGGTCTCTCCTGTGCAGATAACCTTGCCAAATGCCTTTGAGTGATATAGATCTCTTCTAGGAGGCTGTCCAATGTCTTGAGGCACATTGTCATCTATAAATAGAAGCATTTAAAAGACCTCACCATCAGTCTTCAGGGAGCCAAGATGGCAGAGTAAGCAGGAAATTACATGAACTTTTCCATATTCACCTCCAAATAACTATAAAACAGTGCCCCTAAACTAATTCTGGAATAGCAGAACCAACAAAAAGATGGGGTGAAATAATCTACTAGCCCAAGAAAATTGGAAGGTCAGCAGGAAAGGTCTGTCTCTCTCCGGTTAAAGGAGAGTGAAGACCAGGATAGAAAGCATCCCAGCAAGTCAGCAGCAGGCTCTGTTTCAGCAATGAACAGGTAAATGCCAACACTGGGACCCACGCCCCACCCCCAATGCCTCATCTCAGTCCCAGAGGCAACAGGTAGATACCAGTGCCCAACACCCTACCATGGGTCTCACATGGATAGATGCCAGCTCTGGGACCCACCCCCACCTGCCTCAGTGTAGCACCAGGTAAGCTGGCTGATACTGGTGGCATCTAACAGTATCAGCCACTCCACTCCCACCCCATCCCACCCCCTCAGTGCAGCAACAGGCACCAGGGTCCCCTGTGGCCCTCAGGGCAGCACCAGTGCAGCACCAAGCAAACAGCCAGGACCTACAGCTGCTGCTACAAGAAGCTTGGGACAGTGCCCCTTTCTACCTCAGGAGCAGAGCTCAAATTTGAAAGTAAGGAAAAAGGCTGGAAAAGATGAGCAAATAATAATAATAATAATAATCCAACCATAGAAAGTTATTATGGTGACAAGGGAGATACAAACTCAGAAGAGGACAACAATGTCAAAATGCCTACAGACAAAGCCCCCAAAGAAAAATGGGAAGTGGTCTTAAGCCCAGAAAGAACTCATGGAAGAGCTCAAAAAGGAGTTTAAGAATCAAATAAGAGAGGTAGAAGAAAAATTGGGAAAAGAAATGAGGGTGATGCAGGAGAATCATGAAAAAAGAGTTAACAGTTTGGAAAAAGAAAACAATTCCTTAAAAAGTAGAATTGTCCAAATGGAAAAGGAGGTACAAAGTCTGACTGAAGAACATAATTCCTTAAAAATTAGAATTGGGCAAATGGAAACTAATGACTTTATAAGACATCAATAATTGATCAAAGTCAAAAGAATTAAAAAATGGAAGAAAATGTAAAATACCTTATTGGAAAAACAACTGACCTGGATTATAGATCCAGCAGAGGTAACATCAGAATCATTGGACTGTCTGAAATCCATAGTCAAAAGGAAGACCTGAGCATCATACTTCAAGAAATTATCAAAGAAAACTGCCCTGATATTCTAGAACCAAAGGGTAAAATAGACATTGAAAGAATTCACGAATTACATCCAGAAAGAGATCCCAAAATGAAAACTCCCAGCAACATTATAGCCAAATTCCAGAACTCTCAGGTCAAGGAGAAAATATTGCAAGCAAGCAGCCAGAAGGAAACAATTCAAATATCGGGAACCACAATCAAAATTATACAAGATATAGCAGCTGTAATATTAAAGGATCAGAGGTGATGGAACATGATATTCCAGAAGGCAAAGGAACTAGGATTACAACCAAGAATCATCTACCCTAGTGAAATTGAACCTGATCCTTCAAGGGAAAAAATGGTCATTCAATGAAATAGAGGACTTTCAAGCTTTCACAAGAAGACCAGAGATGAATAAAAATTTTATTTTTGATATCAAGACTCAAAGGGAAGAGGGAGGGCAGAGCCAAGATGGCAGAGAAAAGGCAGCAACTTGCTTGAGTGCTCCCCCAAACCCCTCTGAACACCTTTAAATAATGCCATAAAACAATTCCTGGAGCAGCAGAACCCACAAAAGGACAGGACGAAATAATTTTCCAGCCCAAGACAGCTTAGAAGGTCAGAAGGGAAGATCTGTTGCACCTGGGTGAGAGTGGAGCACAGTCCGGTGCAGGCTGCACCAACATAGACCAGCCCCAGCAAACCAGGAGCTGGCCTCAGGAGCTACTGAATCAGGAGCGGTGGCAGCTGCTTCTGGAGCTCTCAGCCCACAGAGGGTAAGGGGGTTGAACAACTGGTCAGGAGATTATAGGGGTCTCTTTGCTAGCACTGAGGCAGGACTCTTTTGCTTTGCCCATACTCAGATCCAAGTCACAGTTCTGGGTGGCAGTCCCAGGGCAAGGAAGACCACTAGCTCACAGAGCTTGTGGCCACAGTGAAGCGTGGACCTGGTCATAGTTACAGGGAAGAAAAGAGTATTTGTGGTCACTCACAGACCACATCACAGGCCAGGAGAGTAGTAAACACCTCTCCTTAGACCGTACCACTTTGGAAGAACTGAAAACTTACAGGTCCCTAGAAGTATTTCTGAAAACAGCTATACAAATCCTCTGTAGCTTAGGACAGTGTGCCCTCCACTCTGGAAGCAGAGCCCTACTTTAACAAAGAGTTAAAAATTTAAAAAATAGGCTAGGTGTTATAGACTTAGCTCTTCTCAACGATGCAAGGATCTAAGACAACGCCAAAAGACTCATGATAGAAAATGCTATCCACATCTAGAACAAGAACTGTGGAGTCTGGATGCAGATCTAAGCATACTATTTCTTCTTTCTTATAGTTCCTCCCATTGGTTCTAATTCTTCTTTACTACATGACTAATGTGAAAATATGTCTAATATGAATGTATATGTAGAGCCTCTATTAGATTGCATGCTGTATTGGGGAGGGGGGGAGGAAAGGGAGGGGGAGAAAATTTAGAACTCAAAATCTTATGGAAGTGAATGTTGAAAACAAAAAAAAAATTAAAAAAAAAAGAAATAAGCCACAAAAATGAGCAAACAACAGGAAAAAATTCTGACCATAAAAAGATATTATAGTGACAAGGAAGATCAAAACACACCCTCAAGATAACAAAGTCAAAGCTCCTACATTCAAAGACTCTGAGAAAAATATGAATTGGTCTCAGGCCATGGAAGAGCTCAAAAAGGATTTTGAAAATCAGGTAAGATAGGTAGAGGAAATATTGGGAAGAGAAATGAGAGTGATACAAGAAAATCATGAAAAACAAGTCAACAGCTTGTTAAAGGAGGCACAAAAAAGTAATGAAAAAAATAACACCTTACAAAACAGACTAGGCCAAATGGTAAAAAAAAAAAAGGTACAAAAAGCCAATGAAGAGAAGAATG